CTGCTATTGCTGCTGCTGCTGCTGCTGCTACTGCTGCTGCTGCTGCTGTAGTTTACTGAGTGCTTAATACATTGTAAAAGTCTCAATACAATATTATAATCAAATATTATCTGTTCAATGAAACTTTTTGTTTAGTCTTTCTTACTTATTCTCTGACCGCTATATATAGCGGTTTATATAATTAATATATATTAACCAGACCACACACTAGAAGGTGAAGGGACGACGACGTTTCGGTCCGTCCTGAACCATTCACAATCGACTTGTGAATGGTCCAGGACGGACCGAAACGTCGTCGTCCCTTCACCTTCTAGTATGTGGTCTGGTCAACATACTTCAGCCACGTTATTGTGACTCATCGCCTGCAATTAATATACAGCGAGGCAGGACACAGCGAGGCAGGACACAGCGAGGCAGGATACAGCGTGGCAGGACACAGCGAGGCAGGATACAGCGAGGCAGGACACAGCAAGGCAGGACACAGTAAGGCAGGACACAGCGAGGCAGGACACAGCGAGGCAGTATACAGCGAGGCAGGACACAGCGAGGCAGGACACAGCAAGGCAGGACACAGTAAGGCAGGACACAGCGAGGCAAGACACAGCGAGGCAGGACACAGTGAGGCAGGACACAGCGAGGCAGGACACAGCGAGGCAGGACACAGTGAGGCAGGACACAGCGAGGCAGGACACAGCGAGGCAGGACACAACGAGGCAGGACACAGCGAGGCAGGATACAGCGAGGCAGGACACAGCGAGGCAGGATACAGCGAGGCAGGATACAGCGAGGCAGGATACAGCGAGGCAGGACACAGCGAGGCAGGACACAGCGAGGCAGGATACAGCAAGGCAGGATACAGCGAGGCAGGACACAGCGAGGCAGGATACAGCGAGGCAGGATACAGCGAGGCAGGACACAGCGAGGCAGGATACAGCGAGGCAGGATACAGCGAGGCAGGACACAGCGAGGCAGGACACAACAAGGCAGGATACAGCGAGGCAGGATACAGCGAGGCAGGATACAGCGAGGCAGGATACAGCGAGGCAGGATACAGCGAGGCAGGATACAGCGAGGCAGGACACAGCGAGGCAGGACACAGCAAGGCAGGACACAGCGAGGCAGGACACAGCGAGGCAGGACACAGCAAGGCAGGACACAGCGAGGCAGGACACAGTGAGGCAGGACACAGCGAGGCAGGACACAGCGAGGCACGACACAGCGAGGCAGGACACAGCGAGGCAGGACACAGCGAGGCAGGACACAGCGAGGCAGGACACAGCCACACCCCAGGGACGCTTGCCACACCCCAGGGACCATTGCCACACCCCGAGGGACCCTTGCCACACCCTAGGGACCCTTGCCACACCCCAGGGACCATTGCCACACCCCGAGGGACCCTTGCCACACCCTAGGGACCCTTGCCACACCCCAGGGACCATTGCCACACCCCAGGGACCCTTGCCACACCCCAGGGACCATTGCCACACCCCAGGGACCATTGCCACACCCCAGGGACCCTTGCCACACCCCAGGGACCATTGCCACACCCCAGGGACCCTTGCCACACCCCAGGGACCATTGCCACACCCCAGGGACCATTGGGACCATTGCCACACCCCAGAGACCCTTGCCACACCCCAGGGACCATTGCCACACCCCAGGGACCATTGCCACACCCCAGGGACCCTTGCCACACCCCGAGGGACCATTGCCACACCCCGGGGGACCATTGCCACACCCCGGGGGACCCTTGCCACACCCCGGGGGACCATTGCCACACCCCGGGGGACCCTTGCCACACCCCGGGGGACCATTGCCACACCCCGAGGGACCATTGCCACACCCCGAGGGACCCTTGCCACACCCCGGGGGACCATTGCCACACCCCGGGGGACCCTTGCCACACCCCGGGGGACCCTTGCCACACCCCGGGGGACCATTGCCACACCCCAGGGGACCCTTGCCACACCCCGGGGGACCATTGCCACACCCCGAGGGACCATTGCCACACCCGGGGGACCATTGCCACACCCCGGGGGACCATTGCCACACCCCGGGGGACCCTTGCCACACCCCGGGGGACCATTGCCACACCCCAGGGACCCTTGCCACACCGCAGGGATTTTTGCCACACCGCAGGGATTTTTGCCACACCCCGGGGGACCATTGCCACACATCGGGGACCCTTGCCACACCCCAGGGACCCTTGCCACACCCCGGGGACCCTTGCCACACCCCAGGGACCCTTGCCACACCCCAGGGACCATTGCCACACCCCGGGGACCATTGCCACACCCCGGGGACCCTTGCCACACCCCGGGGGACCCTTGCCACACCCCGGGGGACCATTGCCACACCCCAGGGACCATTGCCACACCCCAGGGACCCTTGCCACACCCCAGGGACCCTTGCCACACCCCGGGGACCCTTGCCACACCCCAGGGACCCTTGCCACACCCCCAGGGACCCTTGCCACACCCCAGGGGACCCTTGCCACACC